GGAAACCCAAGGAGGGGTCACTATGAGTCGGGGCCGACTCGACGGCAAACAACAACAACTATATCCCACTGTCATCAAGTTGATTCCAACTTATAGCGACCCTCAATGGATTTCCAAGGTTGTAAATCTTTATGGAAGCAGATTGCCTCACGTTCCTCCCACAGAGCAGCTGGTGGGTTTGGACTGTCAACCTTCTTGTTAGTCGCCAGATGTCTTACCCACTACTGCACCAGAGCTCCATACACATATATAATGTATACACATACACACACACACATGTATATATCAGATATCCTTTGTAAGTCCCTGTGGCTTATCACACTGACTTCAGTCTGACTGCATGTGGAGATAGCAGCCAATGGTTCCTCACTAAGCCTAACCAGTCAGTGGGGGAGGGGCAGCCACAGCTGGAGCTCTGGATTGACCACCCGGGCTCTGGCCAGCTTTGAGCTACTGTAGACTTCAAAGGCCCCTCCTACTAGAGAGCATGCTCCTGGCTGGAGGCAGTGACCTCGCCTCCCTCCCCTGCACTCACCTCGTCTGGTGGGTGCCGGACCTTCTGCAGATACTTCTTCAGCACTTCCTCTGGGGTTTTACCTGTGGGGACAGGAGGATCAGTGGGCTCCCAATGCAGAGATGAGCGACCAAACAGCCTGGCCAAATTGGGCACCTCATAACCAGTGAAGGTGCCGTTGCCCTGGTTCCTGCTCACGGCAACCCCGTGTGTGTCAGAGCATTAGTGTGCTCTACAGGGGCTTACTGAGCTTTGTAGAAGCAGATAGCCAGGCCTTTCTTCCGATGCACCTCTGGGAAGACCAGAACCTCCAATCTTCCAGTCAGCAGCCAAGTGAGTTAAACCTTTGTACCATTCAGGGCCTCCAGGTGTGTCATACAGGGAAGTTATTAGCCAATTTCAAAGCAGGAATGCAAAGAATCCAGAATATGAAAGGCCCTAGGGGTTCATTCTGCAACTGATTTACATTTTTGAAAGAAATGTGGGAGGTTGAAGAGCAAGGTGGTCTGAGGAGGTGGAAGGTGTCACACCCACCTTTACCTCCTACAGGTGTTTCCCAATGTCCTCCTGCCTGTTTTTTTAACAGGAGGTCATTTCACTGAGACCATTTGAGTGGATTTTTCTTCCCTATAACTGAAGAGCCTGAACTAGCCCAAAGGATCCAGTCAGATAAGAGCAATGAACCCACAAAAGCCAAACCCACTGCCCCTGACTCGATTCTGACTCCTGGCAACCCCGTCCGAGCTCCACAGGGTGCCCTTAGCTGTAGCCTTTACAGAAACATATTGCCAGGCCACTCGTCCTCAGACTGGACCGCCAACGTTTAGATTAGCAGAGATGAAAGCACCTTGCAGCTTGTTAAACACTAAATACATGTTAGGTATTCTTACTGCATTCATTTAACGATATCCTCGGTTCTGTCCCATTCCATAATGTGGTGTCGAAATAAGATTATGTTTTTTATGGGAAACCAGGAAGTCATGACCCACAGCTTCAGGACAGTCCCCTTTGGCTGTTGATGATGCTGTCATTGCCAGTGGACACAGCCCACAGCAGGGAAGGGTGAGCGGGCTGCCAGGGTGCAATGACAGGGAATTTCTTTGGGAACTTGGCCTGGAGAGAGAGGATTGCCTCCAAAGAGGCACCAACCCAAACCAAACCCATCAGGTCAGTTCTGACTCACAACTCCAAGTGTCACAGAGTAGAAATGCTTTCA